AAGCAGTTGTGGTTTTCTGACACTTTGTTTTGCTCTGGCTGGTTTGGTGAGCCAGATCAGGCATTGTCTAGCTATAGCATTCATGTTCCAATAAGTGATTCTGTTCGGCTGCTTTAACAATAATTTTTGTCTTAGGTGAGGACACTGCAAGATTAACACTTACTGTTTGATGCAGTGTGGTGGGTATTTCCATGGGCCAGAAAGAAGTTCCTGAGCTGCATCTATTACAAGCATGTAATTCATGTTTTATTAGGGAACTTTGGAGATCGTTATTTTGGCACAGATGGCATCATCCCCTGGTATGAGAATGACGACATGGATTGCTGACCTGATTCTGCTGGACAAGGCTTTATTTCTTGAGTATGGGGTGTCTCTTCTTGGCTTGACTACAGGCATAATGCTATTGCCCTGGTCCTTTCTTTTCCTAACGACAAGCTCTACTAGACTGCTCAGCAGTGGTGTAATTTTGATAGCACTTCCTGCTATATAATACACCAACTGGGATGGAAACATTGCTGCTGCTGCTACCTTCCCATTCACAGTCTCCTTCGTATTTATTGGTATTTATTGGGGCATTTACTTCACTGTACTACTGCTTCCCATCTGTTCTCTTTTTTCAAATGCAATACTTTTATTATAAAATAGTATAAAGAATGTAAGAATTCGTATGAAACATGATTTCATTGTGGGCAGCAGCATCATGGGTGCAAGCGGCGGGAGCGAGATGAGGCGCTGTTCTGGGAGGCTAGAAAGGTGTTCGGCTCCATTCTTCCTTCAGGGACCTTTCTCTTGGATTTGACTTCAGAAGGCTCCATGAAAGGATCCCTTTGGGTCACCTGGTTGCTTTCATTCAGCTTCAATGTGTAGCTTCAGCAGCATCTTGTCCTCCTATCAAGGATGCTGTAAGAAAGTGTATCCCTGCAAATCCATTGGATTTTTCACTGATCTGGTGAGCTACTGTGTCCTTTTATATGTGTTTCCTCACTGGCTGATGTGCAATGCAAGCCGGCTTCTGCACGTTGACCTGGGGTTCCTCTCTAAAATAAATTGATGCTGACTTATACAGGATCCTGTGATCTTGACAGTTTGTGTGTAAATTGCACTTGTCCTCCCTAATTTATGACTGCACAAGCATTTGGGACCATAGTGTTGCTATAAGGGACCTCATGCTAGAGGCAAGTGCTCTACACCCAAAGCCAATACTACCGTATTATTAGTGAAAGCCAGAGCTACATTTGCCTTCCAAACCAAAAAGTGGCTATTGGCCTAACATTGGGCCCGCAACCTGCAGTCCCTTATCCTGATCTGTTTTTCAGTACTGTACTCAGCTGACTTGTTTTTTTTTTTTTAATGCCATAATAAAAGATTTACACTGCTACTTGGCTTTATCTCTTTGTAATTGGGATCTTAGCTGGATGTCTTTCAGGTGAAGACAAAAAAATTATAGAGTCTGGGTGGTGGTGTACTGTTATCCAGTGACCAGGAGTTGAGCTCAGCTCTATGGCATCAAACATTGCTGCCAATATTCAAGATTTGGTAAACTGAGGATAGAAGAACACAAGCACTTGGTTACTAGATTGCCATTGGCAGGATCTGTTGTTCAGTAGGAACAAAACCATTGCAAAACCATGTCTCCAATCCCTACCTTCTTGGTTCAGAAGTCGTATGAAGTGCCAGGAAGGCAACACCCTCTATTCAAATACAGATGGGTAATTCATTGGAGCAACAAATATTTTCAATTCCATATCCAAATCGGGAAAGGACCAAACAGTCCGCTTCCGGATTATTTACAGATGCAATCTTTATGACCTCAAAAAGAGACTTTCAAAGCAAAAGGGAGTGTCTTCAAAAGGGAGGGTGAGGGATTCGTCACTGTTGTTCTCAAGACAAGTAAATTCTCTCCTCTGAGATATTTAAAGTAAAAAAGGTAAAGGGTTTCTCTTGTCCAGTTGTGTCCGACTCGAGGGCGGTGCTCATCTCCATTTCCTAGCCAAGGGAGCCAGCGTTGTCCAAAGATGCTTCTGTGATCATGTGGCTGGCATGATTATACGCCAAGGTACACAGAAAGTTGCTACTTTCCCATTGAAGTGGTACTTATTTGTCTATTTGAATCTGTTTGCTTTCAAACTGAGGTACTTACCACCTCTCAAATTCAGCACACGCATCTTGGCTGCCTGAAAAGCCAAGAGCAGCACAGGCCCATCCCACGGTAGCAGAGCTGCTCCTACTAAGGATCTTGTCCATAAGATCTAAAGAAGCCAAAGTAACCCTACAAGATGTCCCAGTTATGCCACTTGTTCCTGCCAATGTAAAACAAGTGGTTTTAGCATGCGAAAATGTCAAAGCATCTTGAAGAGATTGGTCACCCATTCTTTTCCAGTAAGGTATGGGGGATCTGAATGGGATCAGATGGCATTTTACCAGCACAATAAATGGAGAAGTACTGGCATTCCATTGCTCTAACCTCTATGGCATAGGCCTATACCTATATGTGTGTTTCATCAAATTCCAGTTTTTGCCAGTAATGTTCAATGCATCACATCTGCTGCTACAGTATGGATCTGCTCAGTAACGCATGGAACCTTTCAGGACCTGCAGTTAGGCCACTTTGGGGCAGTTGCATCTGATGTCCTCATAATCACATTCTAGTGACTGACAAGTCTTATGATGGAACTGTCCAAATTTTATGGGATAATTTCCAGGTGTATATATAAATTTTTTAAAAAAGATCCATAACGTGAGTAGAACAAGTTATTCGTCTTCTGCCATTGTGGAGTCAGTGTTAACTAATAAAATGGATATGACAGAAGTCAAAGCCGATTCCTCTCTTTGCCCAATTCCATTAGACTCAAATTGATCAACCCTGCCCCAGATAAAAGCACCCCCATCTAACCAAAGAATAGAACCAACTCACAGTACAGCCAGGAGTAACTGTCAGCCTTCAAGATCTTTTCTACTGCTTTGCATCTTTTGGCTGCCATAAGTAACGGGGGGAGGGGTTATGTCTGGGAAGAGAGCTGGAGGTGTTATATTCTTCTGTTGTATAAATGAGGAGTGGGGGGGGGGAGTATAAATTCCTGCTCTTAAGTTTCTATTCCTTGCTTCGCCTTCTTTTCTCTGCGCAACTGCAAATCTTTATCAAAATATGTCAAGGTCAACGGACAGAGGCCTCATCACCACCTGAAGATGCCCACATGACCATATCCAGAACTTTTAATTGGAAGAATCTTTTGAACTTTGGGGGGTGGGAACAATTCCATCCCTTTGTATATGTAATCTGCGTGCCTAATTTCTTAGATTCAGAATTTTACCTGAAGCTACCACTTCAATTTTCAGTAAAAGATTTCTTTCCTCTAATCTATGGAGTCTAAGTATTTCTTTCTTGGATTTTGAATGGAGCACAGACTGACAGTAACCCTTACAAGGGAATTCCAAGGTAGAAAAATCCCAACTTGCCATCTTAGCTGCTAATGACCTCAGCATTCCATCTCCTTCTCAATGGACTTCACCAGCTGTCTTCCCCTCCTGAAAGGCCCACTTCATCCAATAGAAGACCTAACCTCAGGGACAGGATAAGGATCCTACTTAGTTTTCCAAACCGGCCAGCCGAGCAGATCTCGAGGGCTTCCCCACCATCTATAAAACAAAAAATTCCATTGTTCAGAATCTTCCCTCTTGTAAAACTGCTTCCCAAGGATCCTTGCAAAAAAACATACAGTAGTTCTCAATGTTGTGCTCCTTCAACAGACTGAATCCACAACATAGTGAAGATAGTTTAACCTCATGCTTTGATACTAAGTATACCTACTTAGTTATAGTTTGTTGCAAATAATTGTTTCCTTTGGGTTATGACTGATCTATTTTGCTTATAGGAGATCTTTAACATACAGTAAAAATGTTGGTGCAGGTAGTCCTTGATCAGTGACCACAATGGAGCCCAACATTTCTGTTACTAAGTGAAAAAATTGTTAAAGTGATTTTTGCCCCATTTATGACCTTTTTTTGCCACAGTTGGTAATTGAATCACTGCAGTTAAGTTACTAACACAGTTTTTAAGTAAACCTGGCTTCCCAGTTGACTTTGCTAGTCAGAAGGTTGCAAAAGGTGATCAGAAGACCCTGGGACACAGCAACCATCATAAATATGAACCAGTTGCCAAATGTCTGAATTTTGATCACATGGCCAAGGGGATGCTGCAACAGTTGTAAGTGTGAAAAATGATTATAAGTCTTTTTTTTCCTGTGCTGCTGTAACTTTGAATGGTCACTAAATGAACTGATATAAATTGAAGATTACCTGCATTCTGCAGTATTACAGGCCTACAAAGTTACAATCTAGGGAAGCTGCTCTCTGGAGTAAATCGAAAGTACACTCCGTTTGGATTGCAATTTATCAAATCTGAAGGCTGTTAAATGTCTATGGGCACATCCAGTTATCCAGGTCATGGTTGTCCCAAAGGTAAGTTTCTTCAGCTTCTTCCAGATGAGAAGAATGAGAAGCCAAACGCCTTAAACGAAAATCCAGTTGCCTCTTGAAAAAGCACCTTTGAGACGAAGGCTGTTAGTTTTGATTGTTCACACATTATGCTAAACCAGGGTTTTAATCACGATTGAATAAACCACGATTGGTTGAATTCATACACCGCGGCCAGCCAAAATCAAAGCACCTATGATGCCTCATAACAAAGTGCCAAGCTACCAAAAGCAGTCTCATCTCTTTCTCTCTCTGTGTGTGTGTGTGTGTGTGTGTGTGCATTTCAGGAAGCAGGAAAGATCTCAAAAAGACCGCAGATCGGGCGAGCCTCTTACCGGACGTCCCCGACTTCAGCTCCAGCGGAATTCCTCCCGCCGCGGAAACTCACGATTGGCACTTCTTTAATCCAAACACTTCCGCGTCTGCGCAGTGAGCATCCTGGAGGCCGGTCGGCCGGTCGCTTTCCGTGAGCGGAACAAACGAGCCAGCGGTAGGTGGGCTCGAGGGCCCCGGGGGGGGGGGGGCGTTAAGCAGCGAGTGGCGGAGGGCGACGTGGCTTGAGCGTCCCGCGGCTTTGCGCTCTGGGCCTTCTCTGAATCTCCGGGAGGGAGGAGCTGTTTTATAATCATTATTTTTTCCTTGTCCGACGCGCGCCGTGCAGTTTAGGGAGTTGCAAACTCTTGATATAACAAGTCCGTGGGGTTGACGGGCGGAAATAATAGGATTTTCTGGAAGTGTTAGGCCCAAGAGATTAAGCGAGCGCCGTACGAAGGAGTGACGGTAGCGGCTTCTGGACTGTAGGTAAAAGGTAACCGTAGACTTTTAAGGACGCGACTGAGGAGAGAGGAGGCGGATCCAGGGCGAAACCCAGGTTTGTAGTAGGATGGGGGATTATGGTTTTCGCGCCCTATGGCTGACGAAAGCGAGAGTGGGAAAAGGATTGTACTGCTTTATTTCCTTGATTTCTGTCGCAATAATTTAGCGCTAAAAAGAACGGATTTAACGGGTCAGATGTTGTGGAAATGAAATGAAATGAAAATGAAATGAAATGCCATGCAAGGAGGAAGGCGACCTGCCAGAGCATTAAAAACAGGAACCGGTTGCGAAAAGTTATTGAAACTGCAAACAACGACGTTTTAAGATAACCCCGGTAAGCGGAAGAATCGAATCTGGTAAATGAGGGGTTTTCCAGCTCTTTTTAAAGACTGCGGCACTTGTTTTGGAAAAAAAAAACCGCAAGAACCCAGAAGTCCTGATCAAGAAGCAAAGTTCCTGTGACAGAAAATGTGGTTCGGTAAACTTTAAAAAAAAAAAAAACAACAACAACAACAACAACTTTATTCTCCAGTGGAAATGCCATGGAACATAAGTTTGAAAAACTGTACCATAAATTATGCCTTGGAGCATAATTTAAATAGTTCTTGACAGCCGGGAAGCAGGTTGTCCAGGAGGAACAGGCACCAAGACTTTCCATTGCTGTATAATTTACCTTAAGAACAACAGTTTTATAGCTCATCTATTTTCAGCCTCTTCTGAGTCAAGCCATTTGCCTATTTTGCTACCAAAATATTGGGAGCATTCTATGGAGTCGGTAACTTTGCATATTTTTATCAGTGTAATGGATAAACCTTTCCAGTCTCTGATTACAATTTAGAAGCTAATTGCAGTTTAATTATAAAGGCTGCATAATAACTAATCAATTTGGGATATCCTGAACAAGCAGGTTAATCATGGAATGTCTGATTCCTTTGGGTAGTGCCAGCAAGAAAGGAAATAAAGATTTATCTTCTTTGGTGCATCCCCTTTTCTTACCAAACTAAGGACGGCTAATAACAGAATGATGGATGTTTTATTTTGCATTAATTTGTGCCTTTAAGAAATTCAGCTATCAAACATAATCTCTTTCAGCATCTATATTGTATTAGGTAAATTGGGCACTATTTAGATAATTGATATGCTTATTTCTATTTGTAGTTTTATACAGGGAATAATGGAAGAAAAAATATTTTGGAGAGGTTGCTGTTTGTCAGTTTTGGGTTAAAAAAATTATGAATATTGAGAATGTGATGGTTTTGGAAGGTGTGATATGCAGAGAGATGTGATATTAGTGGGAACTTGCTATTGTTTAGGACTGTGCAACCTAGCAAATTTGTTTTAAGTGCTAGAAACTTAAGTTTGCAAGTCAGTCTAGATACGGAAACTAGATTATTTTATTTTCTGAATAGACAGGGCCTTCTTGAGGAGTAAATGTGAATTGTTTATCAGAAGGCAGGAAATGTTTTTGGCATGCGGAATGCAAAAGTAAGACTTTTGAATTGTTATTGAGAACACCTCTATTTATTTAAGCAGCTTTAGAGAAATAACATTTTAAATACTGAGTGCAGCTTTTTACATAAGTCTTTGGGGATTTGTACAAGTTCTCACCAATGTGATCTTCTGTCATGTATAATTTTATAAATAAAACTATGGGATTTTTAGTAAATGGCAGTAAAGTTTACTGTATATTGACTGCTCTGGAATAAAAGGGGAGGAAGAAGAGGAGGAAGGAAGCAAGCTCCATAGCCCTATGTGGAGATCTCATGCAGTAGGATGATGATGATAATGTAGTCTTACATTATCTTGATAATGTAATCTAAGACCCCTCAAGTGATAGGATTAATTGTATCTGTTCGGGACACACTAAAGCCTCCAAACAGGGAATGCCTTGTCACGTTGCTAGTTGTGGTGGCAGGGAGCAGTCTGAGTTGTGCTGTGTCTTTTCTTGTAGGGTTGTTAAGATAAAGTAAGCTGTTGAGGTTGAAAACACACAGCTAAAGGTGTACTTCTTCCTTCTCTGAGTTTTGAAACTGGAGCTGCTCTGGAAAATGAAGTCAGTTGGAAAGCTTGTACCCTGCAGATCTTGATTTTATCTCCCCATAAGCTTTTGAAACCGAGCACCAACATTTTATAAAGTTGGCTCAAACTTTGGTTTGAAGAAAAAAGGATACCTTTTCTCCAGGGCCTTTCTGTTCAGTTAATTAAATAGATTTATGCCTGTGAATAAATATTTTTGTGGCCCATAAATTAAAGGAAACAAGCTGCTTTACAAATACTGATTAAACAAGGCAACCAGCAAAATGTCTTGAAAGTTGCTAGACACATACTGTATGCTGCAGCTCTTGCTTAGGAAGTTAAATAACAGAATCTTATTTCCTTAACTTCTGTTCAGCAAACTCTCATTGTTTACTGTTCTCTTGGCCAGGAACTACTGGCAGAATTCAGTGCTGGCTATTACAGAAAACTCACTGACCTGGTGCAGGACAGTCTCATTCCATTGGCATTTCAAATGAAATGACTCAGCCTTTGGGGGATTAATCTGACTAAGCTATTCAATCTTGCAGAGCCTGCTCAGGCTGTCTTAACTTTGTTAGCCTAGTAGTACAACAGGAGGGCCTTGCTGTGTACTACAAGGGAGGCTGGGCTTAGAGGAAAATCCTGATTTAAAATAGGTGAAGCTGCAACAAGGTACTTGGAGAAAAGCTGAGCCACTGCCCTGCAGGGTTAATAAACAATATCCATTTTGGCCCCAAATAATAACTAGTGCCATAAATCAGACCAGCTGCTTCTGTTGACCCAGATGGCCATGTCATTATTTTCTCTATTGAGCCAGTTCAACTGAGGCAGAAAGACCAAGGCTAAACCTTGCCCAGTTTGGTCACCTGGTTCCATGAATAAGCAGCCTCAAAGCACCAAGAAGAGCTGAAGACTTATTTGAGGATTAGGCAATGAGCTGAAGATTTCTCTTCTTACAGCTGAATTAAATAAGATTCAAAATGCACAGGTTCAGTGGCTTAAGGCAAAGTCTTTATTTCCCAAAGAGGGTGGACAAAACATATCTTCCTTCCCGTTGGCCTGCATTGCTTTGTACAAGCAGCAGGGCAAAACCTGGCATGCTTGTTGCTTCATATTTTTCTTCACTTTCTGATGAATAAGGTATCTGTTTACTTGGCAACTCCTCCATTTTTCTCCTCAGACCAGGGTAGTTTACTAAGGGCCACAGAATTAGGTTCTATTGCATAAGGTTTCTTTTCTCCTCCTTTTAGCAGACTAAGATATAATCCTCAAGCAAAAGACATGAACAAGAGTTTTCCACAGCACAAGATGCATTCCCTGAATATTACCCAGAGTCTTGCTTCCTTCACAGTGGATTGTAGAGCAGGGGTTATCTGCACCCCTGTGTAGCAACAGACATTCTGATCTATAGGCATTTATTCTCTTCTACGATGACATCCTTTTTGTGCTATATCTCAGCCCTTTATGTTGCTCCTTAATTTAGAACAAGATGGCGGAAGGAGGCCGGCCACAGAGGAAGATGTCACGGGCTGGAGAGAGCTTATATCACATCCTGGGCTTGGAAAAGGGTGCTTCCCCAGAAGACATCAAGAAAGCATACAGGTTGGGTACCTATGATTGGGTTTCAAGTTAGCCTTCCTTATGTCCAAGATGTTTGACTTCACAGGAGTCCCCTTGCTTTGGTCCTTTTGATAATTGGAGGCAACCAAAAACTGCATATAAAACAATGAACAGATTTTCACAAACAGATACAGAGCGCTTTGCCTTCTTCACCAAGAAACCAAAAGGACCTTAAATATACCTGCATAGCAGGATTGGTTAACTAGAAACCATTGGGGAGAGATGGTCCCTCAAATAATCTAATTCCAAAAAATTGCATCAAAAACCACACAGGCAACCAATGCAGCTCACAGAAAATAGATTCTTGAATGCACCGAATAACTTGCGCTGTGCATTCTGTACCACTTGAAGCTTCCAAATGCTCCTCAAGAGCAGCCCCATGTTGAGGACATAGCAGTGGTCCAGATGGACAATCAAGTTGCTAAAACTGAGTCGCCCTGTCTGATGGTATTTGAGGACTCTGATGTTGCCCACCACACTTTTTTAATAAGCCATTTGACTCTAAAACCTCTTTCTGACCTACTTACTAGGGGTTAGTTGGAGTAAGTAGGTCTTACTAGGAGAAAAGAAGGAGAGACTATGAACCCAGTCAATAGCTTTTACTGTAGAAAGGGCTGTTGACTTCCCTAATCTTTGATGGCTCATAATCTATTAACACTGTGGAGGAAGTTTGCTGATGTGGCTTAAATATGTATTCCCACATCTTTCTCCCCAGGAAACTGGCTTTGAAATACCACCCAGATAAGAATCCTGATAATCCAGAAGCAGCAGAGAAGTTCAAGGAGATCAATAATGCCAATGTAATTCTCAGTGATGAGAACAAGCGGAATCTCTATGATGAATATGGCTCTATGGGACTCTATGTGTCCGAGCAGTTTGGGGAAGAAAGTGTGAAGTATTATTTCCTCATGTCCAAGTGCTGGTTCAAGGTAGGTGGCTCATAGAAGAGGAACCAACAGGTTTCCCCCCCCCCCCTTTCTCCCGCTATTTTTTTTTCTTTTTGCCAGCTATTGCTCTGATAATGAGTGTCTGTTATTGACTCCTCTTAAGAGGAGACTAATTTTGTCATTTGCACCCCTTCTCCAGACAATAGTAGCGTGCTGTGGCCTCTTTACATGCTGCTGCTGCTGCTGCTGCTGCTGCTTCTGCTGTGGGAAATGCCGCCCACCTGAAGAAGACGAGTCCTACAAGTATGTCAATCCTGAAGACCTGGAGGCCCAGATCCGTGCAGAAGACAATGGTGAGATGGTTAGGGCAAACACTGGGATGAGGGTGGAGTTCAGTTTCAGGTGCTTGCTGACCCCCAGAGCCAAGGGAAATGTGAGTGGAGATTTTGGCATAGGCATCTCTTTCTGGGCTATGTCAGATGCAGCCTATATGTCTCTTCGCATACACAGAGCATGTTCATATGAACTCTGACCTTTTGTTCCCTCATTTCCTGTCTTCCAGAGATCTCTTGCAAGGACTGACTTCTTGCTAGTAGTTTCTGATCTCCAGGAGATCAAGTAATTGGCTGGGTGGGCCTATTAAGCAGAAATTATTTAACTTATGCAGGAAGAAATCAATAATCATTTTTCTGCTGGTTTTTCTGCTAGTTTTCTGATATTATAGGAAAAATGGGAAATATTCCACACAGACTATGCTTCGTATGACTGAAAATGGCATACAATTCTGACCCAAACTTGGTCAGCACTATTTTTCAGTGATTTGAACAGGAAACACACAAAGTATCTGCATTAAGACAGGTGTAACGAATGCAATGTAAAGCCTCACGTGGTTTGCTTATGCTTTTTACATCTCCTCAGAATGTGTTGATAAATATTCTTTTTTACTTAAAGAAATATGGGGGGCTTCCTGGACGTGTGTGTGTGTGTGTGTAAAATCTGTACAACAGTACAACAGTCTGGCTACTTGATATTGTGGGTTTGCCATCCCTGAAGATTTTAAAGAAGAGGCTGGATAGTCATCTCTCAAGGATAGTTTAGGTAATTGGTTTTCCTACACATAGAACAGGGTTGGACTAAATCAGGGGTGTCAAACTCGCGGGCCATGGGCCGGATGTGTTGTGTGCTGGCCCCGTTTTAGCAAAGGGGGGGAAAAGCCACGATACGCCACGTGATGACAACGTGACTTAAGTTTGACGCCCTTGGATTAGATCCGTGTGGTCTCTTTCAAATCCTCAACTGTGTGATTCAATGATTTTTGGAATTTGAAGAATTTAAGGGAGCTAAAAAGCAGAAATGCACAGCATTTCACCCTTTAAGAAATGCAAAGAATTTAGGGCTATGGCTTTACCTGCAGTTGGTAATACTGTACTTACGATGCTATGCAAAGTTCCAGCATAGTCCTTGAGCCAATGGAAGTTGCACACACTAACCTTAAAGACATAAGCCTAATACTGGTTTTTTTAAAAAACAGAAAAGCCTGAGGATCCTCACAAAAACTATAATAAAATCCCATGGTTTCTTATGTGTGATTTGATTGTATCCACTGCTTTAATCAATTTGAAATGGTGCAATATGGACAACACTGAACCAAATTCTCACTGGCTATGGTAGATGTGCTAATGCCCTCTATAAGTAGGGCAAAATACCATCACTAAATTGTGATTCCTATACCAAAAACAGTCTATCCAACATAGAGTGCCAAAATAAAGCTTATAATGGAGACTTTGCTGATTTTCTAGCTGCCAACAAATGAAGCAAAAATTATATTTGTAATCTAGACAAATGCTTATATCTTTAGATTTTATATTTCATATTTTTATCTTGTGATTTTTTTGAATCAAAGTGTAATGTGAATGTTCCATACCATAAATGATAATCAACCTGAAAGCCCTCCCATCCTATTAAGTTCAGACCCTCTCCCCTCCCCTTGTAGCCAATCTCAGTTCTAGGGCATAGATAGACAAATAATGACTGTTAATGGAATGATGAGAGTTGTACTTTCCTCCTGCTTCAAACTCATGAAACTGCTGCTAATGGTTGTGATGTACTGTGTCTCTTCCCTAGGTGGCGATGCTATCCGAATGCAGCCAACAGCAAATGCAACATTGCACACTACAGATGAGAATCAGTCCCGCAAGCCATGACCTTGTAAGCAAGGCACGATCACTGGTGTGTGGTGGGAAAGTCATGGGGAAGCTACAGGAGACTTTTGGCAGCTGGTGTCTAGATTCAGAAGGGTCTAAAAGAAGCTTTGTGCTACTGTGGCCCTTTTCCTCACAATCATCTGCTACTGTGTAGCAGCCCCTTCAGTGGAGCCCCCTTTCTTTTCTGAAATGTAATACCCACCTTGTGGCTAGATTAGGATGTTTTTGCATCAAGGACAAGGTTTTTCCAGAATATCACTGGTCTGTGGAAGAGCTGATGGATTAAAATCTGCTGTGGAATGGAATTCTTCTGTTTTCTGTACAAATACAGGTAGTCCTCAACTTAGGGTCACAATTGAGCCCAACATTTATGTGGCTGAATGAGGCATTTGTTAAGTGAGATTTGCCCCATTTTACGATCTTTCTTGCCACAGTTGTTAAATTAGTAACACAGTTGTTATATAAATCTGGCTTCTGCATTGACTTTGCTTGTCAGAAGATTGCAAAAGGTGATCACATGACCCCAGAGTACTGCAGGTATCATGAATGTGAGTCAGGTGCCAAGAATCTGAATTTTGATCACGTGACCATGGAGAGGCTGCAATAGTTTAAGTGTGGAAAGTGATCATAAGTCACTTTTTTCAGTGCCATTGTAACTTTGAATGGTCGCTAAATTGTTGTAAGTCAAGGACTACCTGTACTACAACCTGAGGATACGCACTCAGAAATTGACTATTGTAATGACTCAAGATTAAGTTGGCTAGTTGTTGCCCAGTTCACAAAGTAATATTTACATGCCTGAGATTTATCTGGATGATTGATGCAGCTGACTGCATGTGGAAGTGGAAGGCCAGGGAGCCATGGCTAAGAATACCTGCAGCCGATGCAATCATTCCACATTAGTAGCAGTATTGATATCCGCTTAGACAGAAATGCTACTCAAGATAATTCTCTAATGCTAAGGCCACCCTGAACAACTGTCTTATGTGCCCGTAGTTGCTTTGGCTCTCTCTCTGTCTCTTCTGTTTTGGTGACTGGCTAGCACTGGAAAAGATTACTCAGAAGAAGAGGCATCTTTTCCTCCAGATCATGAATGCTGTGCACAGACCAACAGCAGACGTTTCTTAAGCCCAGTACAAACATCTGTCCATTCTAGTAGGCAAACTCACTTTAAAGCTTTCTATGTTTCTCCTCCTTTTCTAACCTCAATTTCTCTTCCCTCCTTCAGAGTTTGGTTTCCAGTCACAGCACAGTTCCTATTCCAGCAACCATTCCAGAGACATCCTGCCCAGGCCTGAATTACCAATCATTTGGACTCTGGACAAAGAGCTCCCTCTCCAGTTTGTGATGCTGTGCAGTGACTTTGGTGAGGGTGCCTGAATGCCTGCTTCAGAGTCATAAATCTTCTCAGGGAACATGGCCGCAGGCATACTCGGACCTTGCAAGGGGCTGGTTTGAAGGAAAGAGAGACACTTTAGCTCTGCCTCTTTGGGCCCAAGGAACATCTTCCCCCTTCTCCAGCAGCAGAACGGTTCTTTGTTTTAGCCTGTATTCCCACAACAGTGAAGGAAAAGAAAACGGATGCATGTTGCCAGCCAGCAGTCTTTATCCCCAAGTCATTCTTTCTCCTTGCAATCTTGGTATTTTGTGTTTTTAAGCCAGCCATATTGTGCCCTTGCCAAAGACCAACACGTGATGGAGGAGGAGATATTGGGCTCTCTGCCTCCCAGTACCAGGGAGTCAAACTGCCCTGCCCCGGCTGTCCCCTGGCAACTGGGATTGCCCTCTCTGACCTATGCATTGGTGCCAAGCTGCATTTCAGGGTGTAGTGTGAAGTATGGTGGGATTTGGAGTGCCTGCCTGGTAAGTTGGTGTTGCCCTTCATCTCCCACGATGAATTGCTGCTCCAGAGAGCTTTAGTTTGCTGTGTAGCATCCTGCCTCTTAAGCTGCCCCGAATCCTTTTCTGTGGGGCAGTACTGGGCAAGGGCATTTTTCACACTGTGATTTAAAAAAAAAAATTGTTAGGTTTTTATCAGCACAATTAAATATTTCTGAAGGAAAGAGCTGTTTTTTGTTCATGTTTCCTTGGGATGTATTCATTCATACATTCCTGGGAATATTGGGGTAGGTCTTACGTACTTTTCATGCAATCTCTGCTTGGCCTTTCAAGGTCATCCTAGATATCCCCATATGCTGAAATTTTTAGTAGAACAAGGCAAGTAATAAATTACTATTTTTAATATATTTATGGACTGGATTATGCTATTTAAGGATCAATAGCTGGCCTCTCAACCGTATCAACAATGAATATTTGCACATTGACTTGGATGGGAATGTGTGAAGTTATGTCAGAATTCTGTCTTAGATCTATCCTAGTCAACATTTTTATAAATCATTAGGCCCTAGAGAGGAATAAATATTGAGGGGTACCTTGGAAAATAGAATCAATATTTAAATCCATATTTAAATATTGATATTTAAATTATCAAGAGCATTAAATCAAATCTACAAGAATACATAGATATAGATCAAAATGTATATAACTGGCGGGAATGGCCATAAACTATAAGATCAGCAAGTGATACTATAGAAATTTGCTTTTCGTTTTTTTTTTTACCTTTTGTCATTAGACAGCACAGGTTGTGAGGGGCCTTTCTCTTTTGCACACATCGGGGTGGAATAAGGTGCCCACGACAGATAAATAATGGCAGCAGGAACCACCATATGTAAGCCAGTACCAGTATGTAAAGATTCAGGCTTCTGAGGAGAGGTTTGACTTCCATCTTTCCATGTCTGACCTGTTTTGCTACAGCCATCTTTTATTTTTTAAATACTTCAAGATCTTTTTAAAGGACTGTCACATAGGAGATGAAGCTAATTTGTTTCATTGCCTCAGAGCAGTGTTTCTCAACCTTAGCAACTTCAACCCCCAAAATTCCACACTTTTTAAAATAGCAAACTTGAGAAATCCTGCTCCAAAGAATGTATCTTAACCATATGAACTTTTTGACAATAGAATAGAAGCACAGAGGCTGAATTATTGTCAAGAGGAGTATAACAAATGGGTATCTGTATCAATAGGAACTTGAACTTTTGAAATTGTATGTTTTTATAATTTAATTACAAACGTGCCCTATTCTAGAACTTAACATGCTTGACCCAGCCTTGGCTAAAAACTGCATAGTCTCTTCAGTCTTAATAGTATTATATGGCTTAAGAATGATTACTTTGGTACTAATTTGACTATATCTCCTCCCTGTTTTAGCAGAAAAATAACTAGGTGTTAAGTGACTATTCTCTACAGTTGAGAGAATAATCAACGGATCAGGAAGACATAATCAGATACACATTTTTGCTTGGAGAATCAGGTCTAGGTCCAAGTTACTCCAAAACATGTTTCCTTTTATATATTGTTTTATTAAAGATCTTTAAAAGAATATAAAAAGCTAACAGAAACTAATATAAAGAAAGAAAAAGAAATCAAAGAGAGGTGCAAGAAAGAAACACATAGAAAAAATATAAACCAAACTCTTAGAGAGGGCTGTAAAGCACTGTGAAGCAGTATAAACGTGCTATTGCTATAACTTTACCTCTATGGTTACAACATACCTCTCTTCTTTCTTTATCTAGTCTGTTTAATCATCGAAACTATAAATCATGTCCATTTTTTCTATTTCATGCAAAAAGTCTGTAAGGGATTTCCAGTTAGCAATAAATGTAGATATTTCATTTCCCTAACCAAAGAAGTTAACTTAGTTATGTCATTTTTACAACCATTCCTCCATTGGGGATAATGCCGAATCCTTCCATCTTTATGCATACAATAATCTTACTGCATATACAAAGTTCCATTTCTTTTCCAACCCTTTGTCCATCAGTCCCAAAAGAAAAAAAAATGCTGGTTTCAATTGCACATTAATGTTTTAAGATTATCTTAATCGGTGTATGTATTTTAATGCAAAAATTTCTAGCTTTTTCTTGCATATCCCAAGCATACCCCAGGCTGTTCATTGCACCAATATCCTGCAGTGTTTACTAGTGATTATTGGTGATTTTTTGTGCCGTCCTGGGCATCAGTAATAAAATCTTCTGTTTCTGTTGTAAGCCGAAAGCCTTTTAGCTACTGCACTAAGTCCACCCAAATCTTTTCTTAGAAGCCTTTCCAAGCATTCTAATCCCATATAGCATTTCAGTGGGATGGATTCAGTCAGTGGGTAAGTGCTTTTCCTGCAGAAGCTACCAAATTCATCTTTTGGCATTTCATTTAAAAGGATAATAAGTAGCAGGGCTGGAAAAATCCTGTAGAAGTATGATCAATCTGAAGAGGCAAGAATGGATGGAAATGATCTGTGTATCAACCTGAAGCAATTAACAAATGTTTGTATAGGTATTAATGTTTTGTTTTTTTAAAAAATTATATGCGGAAAGAAGAAAGAACCTATACAAAAATAAAATTGTCCTATACTAAACATAATTACTCAAATGTTTATTCCATCCATCCATCAGGCTATACAACTGAATTCAGATTACATTTAAGCCAGTTAGTGATAAAAACTTTGGGAAATATAATTAGTAATATATAGCCTGAATTTCTACATAATTTTCCAATTGGTCTCCCCAGTAAAATGTTTATTCAGATAAAGAGGCTTAAAACTGTTGTGTAATTAGCAGAGAATCCTCCCAAACTACACAGTATCCATTTTAATGACTAAGAGCACACAATATTGATTTCTGTTTCTTTATCCTAAAGTTCCCAATTATTTTTAAGTAGCCTTTTTTTTCCAATCCCAGTTGGAAATCATCCAGATCTGAATTTCAACTGCCGGAAATCCTGTTTGGAAGCCTCCAGAATGTGCAAGGCTGGTTTAGATATTTATGTTGTTAAGACTAGCTGGTCTGATTCAGAGCAGTGGCTTTTTAAGTATCTTTGGCTAATGGCTATAAATTGCTTTGAATGTCGAAGTTGTAAGACTTGTTTATTTTGCAAAGTATTTATGAAGGTTAAGTCTATTGTAATTTTATATGTTTCCCCTTAATATTTTGATGATTCATTTTGAATGTTGAGAAAAGTAGGCTGTTTAATGTGTCAAGTACAATCAAAGCAAAAGCCAACAGCTTAATTGCACTTGCAAAAAAAAGGAACTGAGCAGCCACTTACATATTCACAGCATTCCTTGACTTCATAATTGCAAACTCAGTTTTTAATATTTCATGGAAACTGACTGAAGAAATGCAAATAAGAGAGTTTATTTTATTCCTTAGTAGATGCTTGCAATTCGAATTGTTATCTGGTTCCAGTCAGTTACATCACATTCAGTTATACTTTAGTAGAAGGTCTTTATCCAATATGTGAAAAGATTTGATTCTTTTCCCCAACAATACTTGAATCTGACTGTTTTGGATATAGCATAGGAGAATGCCACTGCCTGCTTCCCCCCAGTCTGCCAGCCATCTTTTGAAGGTGTCATCGCTTGTTGTGGAGTAGTGACTAAATGTCACCTGATCCCCGTTGACAGCTGTTGCTTTGCCCCCGCACCCTTTACGGAGACAAAAATGGCAGCTGGGATTCCATTGGGGTCATGTGACCTACTAAGAATAGCCTTGTAGGCTCAGGACAGGGAATGATATCAGAAAGAAGTCAAGATCTGGACAGGCAAAGTAGAAAAAGAGAAGCAAGCTTGGTGGACGGAGGGAAATTCCTGAAGTGGAAATAAAACAGGAAGAGGCCAAGGTGTAAAAGCCAGGAAGGAGAGAGGCCAGTACTGCCAAGGCGGGGGTGGTGGAGCAGGCAGGCAGAATAAGGCAGAGAGAGCAGAGATTGACAAGGCAGGCATTGAGACTTAGGGAAAGCGGAGGGGGTCATCCATCCAGCCCATTGGAGTGTGCTGTGGGCAAGAATCAGTGTTGCGGGGATGAACTTTGCCGTGGGCTTCAAGCCGATGCTGGGGACTTCACAGAGCATGGATAACCTGGAGAAGCAGCTTATCTGCCCCATCTGTTTGGAGATGTTCACCAAGCCAGTGGTCATCCTGCCCTGCCAACACAACCTCTGTCGTAAGTGTGCCAACGACATCTTTCAGGTGAGCAAGAAGCCCAGGAATCAGTGCTCTGGATAAGCATAACATGAAAGGGATTCAGGTCGGTCTGGGTGATGTCTTTCTAAAATCAGCCATTTCTGAGTGAAGGAGTTTATGATAATTATGTAATAAATGTTATGGTGTATTCTCTGCTTATAGATAGCCGTTAATATTCATCACACTTCTTGAGTCACATAAATAAAGGGAAATATTTGCCTCCCAAAACTTAAGAAGGCCAATGAGAGAGGGGGATGAAGGAGCAATAGAGAATTTGGAAGTAGGAATAATTGCAATGCTGGTTACATGTTTTGTGGGAAAGGACTGGTGTATCAAGGCCAGTGTGCTTGTTTAAGGAACGGTTTGGAAGGCAGGGGTAGGAAGAACAATGTGTATTGTGTTGATCAGGCGCTCCAAAATGGGAGGAGTACAAGACTGGTTGTAAGATTCAGGGCAGGATGACAACATCTTGTATCAGCCTGGAGAGGCCATTATAAGCAGGCCTGAAGGAGGAGAGGGCCTTTGTATGTATCATCAGTGAGTGGAATAAAATTGATGCAATTAAATGTCTCTTCCTACAGAACATTTTCTATACATTGCAATCTTCTGGAGCCAGTAACATCCAGATATTTCCATTTAGTCTGTACCCACTTAGCTAATATGAAAAAGAAGACAAAAATGATACTTGAGAGCTGGATGATGGAATTGAACATATATAGGGGGGAAATATTCTACTGGTTTAAGTAGGATTTGTGTATGATGATTTTTGTGAGTTGTCTAAATAGGAGGCTGCTGCAGTTATTACTTGTTTTGTTACACAGTTTGGCTAGGATCGAAAGAAGTGTAACACGTGTGGAAACGAAAGTTTTAAACAAAGGAAGTATCTTCAGTCTCGTTTAGTTACATGTTGACTACATTTATACAACTATGCTGAACTTAGAAACAGTTTGGTCTAGTGTCTAGTTTAGCATCAGGCTCAAAAGCAGGACATCTTGAGTTCAGGTCATGCCTTTGCCATGAAACCCAGTTAGGTGACTTTGGACTAGTCATTCTTTCTCAACCCAACCACCTCCCAGAGTTTCTGTGGGGAAAATAGAAGAAGGAAAGTGTTGGATATATTTGCCATCATGAGTTATTTTTAAAAATAATAAAGACCGGATAAAAATAAATCCCTTTTCTGGATTCATACAATACTGCATTCAGGTGGATTTGTGTATCCTGCTAACTCACACAAAACTATCCCTTAAAACTAGCCTATATTGTGCAAATGCAGCCCTTTTACCAGGGGGAGCAGAATAGAAAATAAGACCATGACCAACTGTTGCCCTTCCAGATGAGAAGAAAATGTGGTTTAACAGATCTGGAAACTATGTCCCACAAAAATTATGGAAAGAGCTAAGTCGCTTGGAGAGAAAAAAGGCTATGGGGAGATTTATAATGTCTGCAAATATAGTATGTCATCATTTACCACACAGATAATGGAGCAGACGTTTTGAAGTAATGGGATGGTTGTTATGATGTCATAGATTTTTTATCTCAACCTGAGGAGAAACGTATCTTGTAAGAGTTATTTCATAGCAACAAATCTCTCTTGGAGATGGAGACAAGCCTTTGTCAGGGATGCCATAATTGGACTGATCTAAATCAGATGGCTTCCTAATGGAAAACGATCCAAGACTTAGTGATTTCCAAGATAACAGTTTTAAATATGGGAGCAGGGAAGACACTATAGTTACTTTATGCTGAAAAACACTTTTCATTAGCTCAAAGAGCCTTTATTTTGTTTTAAACGGAGCCTTGACATTGACAATTGATGTCAGTCCTGAGTCCGGTATGTATTTAGTTGTAAAACTCCTGGAAGCGATCATTTTCATCAAGAAGAAATATGCTTGGGTGGTGATTCTTTGATTTGAGCCAAGCCTGGCAAATGGCACCAGCTTACCCATTGCTTTCCTGCAAAAAATTACTATTGTTAGAGGAGGATGGTTCCTGCTGGCTCTGCCTTTAGGAAGTAATACTGTATTGATGGAGTGGTGGCTTAGTAGCTTAGTGCTTGACATTTGCTATCACAATAGTACCGTTTTTTATTAATACAGCTTTCTGTAGCTCACTGGGAGAGACTGAGAGCCATCTGAACAGATTCAGCTGCTATGTATAGAACTAAAGGCATCTGAATCAGATTTAGGACGTTTTGTGCAACACAGATAACCCTCGGCTTACAAACATTTGTTTAGAAACTGTTCAGAGTTACAAATCACTGAAAAAACATACGGCCAATCCTTGCACTTATGCCATCGCAATATCTATGGTCACGTGATCAAACTTTGGACACTTTATTTACAATGGTTGCAGCATCACAGGGTCATGTGATTGCCTTTTTTTCACCTTCCCAGTTGACTTCCAACAAGCAAAGTCAATGGGGGAAGCCGGATTTGTTTAATGGCCATGCAATTCACTTAACAACTGCAGTGATTTGTTTACTAACTATGGCAAACAAGGTTATAATATTGGGTGTACTCACTTAACAATCACGGTCCCAGTTGTGGTAGCAAGTCAATTGTACCCACATTAAAACAGCCAGGGCTTTTCTTCCTTACTTAAAAGGGAACACTCTACTTTAAGCAGCAAACAACAATTTAAATCTGCCTTGAGTATGGGCGGCGTGAAAGATAAAAACCACCTTATGGGGACACAACAGAAAAAGAGGTTAGCTGGCATTGTTTATGGCTAGATTCTAGTAAGGAAAAGCCATCCTTACTATCATTGCTAGGATTTTGTATCTCTCTGGACAAATTCTATAAAATCTAATTCTTGATTCTTTAAAACCTGTTGTGTACATGCCCATCAACACCATCTGAGTTGTGGGATCCCTTTAAGCCTAAAGAATTAAACCCTTTTCTGAGAAAACTAAGCAGTCTAGGCCATCTGTAAAGGCCAAGATATAGTCAAGATATATACACCAAGATATAGTCTTTAAGTTCATTAAACAAAATGACTAACAAAAGTAACAAAAGTGCATGTTTTGCACTTTTACAAAACTAAGAAGGAAAGAAGTGATGTTAATTAGAATGAGAGTAAGGTTCTTTGCAGAGGAAGAATAATCTATGCATGACCAGTGCCACCTAGAGGTCACAAAATAAATATATTGTGTAAGATTTTTAACTTTTGTTGGGTTCACTCCACATATAAGCCAAATTCATTGTGTTGCAGGAAACAGTGCTAGCTTTTTTGTTTTATTTGTTTTCTTATATTAATATGCCCAATTCTTTCAGAGTTGACTTCTGTATTCTAATCTCTCTGAATGTTCCTTTTTTAATGTAACAAGGGAAAATTGAATATATGGGACATTCTTACATTCATCGAATTTAATCCCCTTTAAACTACATTGTGTTAAAATACAGTGAATTGACTACCTGCTTCCCCCACAAGGGCAGTCCCTGATACAGGATTCACAAGTAAGGAAAATCCACACAAAATTTCCCTGCACTTAAATAGGCCCTCAACACATGATTTATAAAAAAAAGATTGAACTGCGTATTGCCCAGGAAAAAGCCCTATATATCACCCTCCTAATATCTTTCCCTCAGAAAGAAAATGTATTAATTTGTTCCTTTGAATTAGATGGAGTCCTATGCATTTTACCTTAAAAAATTCTTACGGATTCTCATGTTGACAAATCAATGCTTTTGTTCCGAAGAAATTTGTTTCCTGGCTCAAGTCTCACTTCAATGCTCTTTGCTCTAATATTGGAACAGGAGAGTCTATAGAAACCAACTGACCTCTGAAGGCCCTGTGTGGTATCCAAGAGTTTTCAGTGTAAACAACAGCAGTTCTGATTTTCAGACTAGGGTTTTCTTTTAAAAAAAATACATGTTATTAAATTTCTTCAAAAGCTAAAGTATAAAAAACAAAAATAAAAATAACATTAAAATATTTCCAGGATGTTCCTATTTATTTATTTGTCTATTTGTTTATTTATTTAACTTATATGCTGCCCATCTCACCAAAGATGATTTTAGGCAGCTTACAATCAATGAATAAAAATGCCATATAAAAACACTGAAACATTAAATAGTTATCTTAAATTTAAAATTCAGCTGAAATTAAAGTGACCAAGATGGAGACCAAAGAAGGGAGCAACGTGCCCACTGGGAGGAGATGGGATATTATCTAATGTAGACATTTTTTACTATTTAGAGGAGCTCTCTCTTCAAGTCTTATCCAAAATTTTAAGACCCCTATTGGAGGAGTGTGGTTGTCCCATTTAACTTTTGCACTTCTTAAGTCATTAGACCATCATTCAGCTGTCTGAATATAACCTAGAACTCACATGTGAGTTGGAGAATGAGTTACGGTGCTATGCATATGGTGAGTTACTCTGGCAAGTTGGACATGGGATGGCTGTGAATAATCCTTTGCCCAATGGCTGCCTATTGCCGTGTTCTCTGAAGTTGCCAAGTCTTGTAATAGTGGCTGGTAGAGGACCTATTTCCATGACCTGTCCTGGGACAGAGGAATGTCATTGGTGTTCAGAATGCCCTCCTGGGTTTCTATTATTGTTTCCTAGAAGGGCCACATTCCTACCAAATGGGTAAGTAAGTAGTGTTGAACCTCAGCAAAAACTTTCCCATCGCCTCCTTGCCAGGCCTCCAACCCCCTGTGGCAATCCCGTGGATCTACATCAGTGTCTTCAGGAGGCCGATTCCGGTGCCCATCCTGTCGGCATGAAGTGGTGCTGGACCGGCATGGAGTTTATGGCCTGCAACGCAATCTTTTGGTGGAAAACATAATTGATATCTACAAGCAAGAATCCTCTCGGTAAGTTAAATGTAGAATCCCATAATTTCTGTTTTAACACTTCGTGGTAGTCATTCTGCACCTAAGACGTGTGTGTGTGTGTGTGCGCGCTCATATATTTCTGTGGCTCCAAAACCTTTGTGTTCCAAATGAAGAAGCAGAACCAGAATTTTCTTTCTGATTACTTCAACTCTCTTTCCTCCTTCAAGGCCTGTCAGAGATTGAATCCTTGACTGGACCTCTCAGGTCTTATCCTTCCTACTTCCTCATCATCTTCCTTCCTAAATGCTTTTCTTGCTTTCATATGCATTTTTCTACTTAATACCAGAGGTGGTATTCAGCAGGTTCTGACTAGTTCTGCAGAACCAGTAGCGGAAATTTTGAGTAGTTCGGAGAACCGGCAAATACCACCTCTGACTGGCCCCGCCTCATCTATTCTCTGCCTCCCGAGTCCCAGCTGATTGGCTGGGTCTTCTTTTGTTGCCCTGCACAGGAGAACGGAGCTGGAAAGCAGGTTAATGGGGTGGGGAGGGGAGGGGATTTTGCAGTAACCTCCCCCCCAGGAGTGGGGAGGGAATAGAGATTTTACAGTATCCTTCCCCTGTCATGCTCACCAAGCCACGCCACGCCCACTAAGCCATGCCCACAGTGTAAAAAGAGTAGTAAAATTTTTTGAATCCCGCTATTACTTAATACCAAATGTGTATCAACCAGTACATCTAACACACTGTTGGCTCTTTCTATAGCAGAGTTCAAAGTTGCGAAGGTTAGCTAAAGCCATCTCTCTAAAGCAGGGGTGTCCAACCTTGGCAACTTTAAGACTTGTGGACTTCAACTCCCAGAATTCCTCAGCCAGCTTCAACTTTCTGGGAGTTGAAGTCCACAAGTCTTAAAGTTGCCAAGGTTGGACA